GGGCTCCCGCTCTCAGCAGCGGCCTGTTCGCACAGGTATCAAGCAAATACTGTAGTGAGACACCTCCCCGCCGGAGGGTGGCATCCAGCTCCACAAATGCTCGAGGTGGGAAACAGGCGAGCGTGGCGAGCTCTAGCCAGGGTACACAAAGCGACCTACAGAGCTGCCGGAGAGGCCCTGCAGCTCCCTTTCACAGGCTCTGGAGCCTCCAGGCTCCAGCTGAAGACCTCGGTGGCCCCAGCTGCCACCCCTCTGCAGAGACAGTGGTTTGGGGAGGGGAGCAGGGCCCCCAGGGAGCGCTTGGCTGCACGCCGTGCTGGAAGCGTATGAACGGGAGCTCCCTCCTGGACAGAGGGCTGCTCTCCTACAGCCCAGGGAAGAGCCCTCACTGAGCAGGGTGGGAAGACAACACAGACCCAACTCAAAAACCAGACAGCAAGCTGAGGACAGCCGGCGGGGTGTGAGAGGGGCACGGCCCAGGGAACTGGACTATTCTCTGCCTCGTACCCCCGCGGGAGCCGAGAAACACCTGACAGACGAGGGCACAGGACAAAATTAAAAACAGGATGCCTGGGCTTTGTAAGCCCTCAAAAAAATACCTACATCTACGACCTCTCCCCTTCCCTCCCCCCCCGCAACAAGACACCGAGCGCACAAGACTGAGAAGAGTCACACAACGTCACGCTACACTAGGAGAAACACGCAGAGAGGCCCTACCCAGAAGGAAGGCCCCGGAGAGGCACCAGAGCCAGCCTGGAGCTCCCCGGAGAAGGAGGCGTGCGAGGAGACCCTGGTAAAGGGCTGCTGCCAAGCCGTGAGGTAGTGCGTCTACAGGGAGCAGCTCCTCAGCACGCTGCCCTCGCATCCCTGCCAGCCCCGCACCAAGCCCTGCCCAGAAAAGCCCAGTAGCATCCTGCACGTCTTGCTTGCCTGGGGCGAGACCTTGTTCTTGAGTCTGGAGGGGTTTTGGCAGGCTGGAGGCCAGGATCACAGCGAAGAGCCGAGCCTCCTCAACACACCCTCAACGCAGGCATCGGACTGGCTGCCAGCGGCTGTGTCTGTTTATGCAGGGCAGGGAGAAAGAAAAAACAATACACCCCAAAACCAAAGGCTTGGAAAGAAGAAAGAAGCCCACCCAAGAGCAAAGCATCAGCACCGTTCCAACAAAACAACAGCACAGAGAGCGGGGGAAGAGGTGTGAGGGAGGAGACACAAACACAAACCCCAGCAGCCAGCAGGCAGTGCCTCCCCAGACCACCTCGGCGGACGGCACCCGCGCCCCACGCCGCAGCACCAGCATCCGTGCGTTGCCTCAGCGGGGGCCGGGTGCTGCGCCCAACGCCGGAGCCGAGCAACAGGGACCTGCAGAGGCAGATTCTGGAGAACCACCCAGAGGGCAGCTGGGGAAAACAAAACCCAGCAGGAGAACGAGACACCAGCAACCCCAGCGCATCCCCACAGGCACAAAGCCATCCGCTGGGAGAGTCCTCGTGCCCCACTCACGGCCCCGGGGGGCTCACAGAGAATCAGACACCGCCACACGGGCACTCTGCCCTGTTGGCAACAAGTTAAAAGAGAGCAGAGCAGCTGTGGGCAACGGGGGCCTCAGGTACCTGAGCGGGAAGGGGGAAGGAAGATGCGAGCGTAAAGAGGCACAGGCACCAGGACGAGGGGTACCAAGAACGAGCTCCGGTACAGGCACCAGTGTGAGGCTGTGTGAGAGCTGTGAGTGCGCCAGGCAGTGAGCTGCGTGTGCGAGTACTGTGGGTCTGAGGCGCCAGGGAACGGGGACCCCAGCTCTTCCAGGTAGCAACAGAGAGAAAATTCCAGAGCAGAGCCCCTCCGGGAGCAGGGTACCGAGGGAGGTTTCTCCCTCAGAAGGGGGACAGGAGGAGACATCCCACCGCTCTGCAGCGTGTGGCTGCTTCTTGCCCTGCCTCAGCTGAGAAGGTTGCCCTGCTCCTGGGCTTGCGTCAGACTGTCCTTGCGATGTAAGTGGTGGACCCCCATCCTCTTGGGGCTGCGGTGGGGCCGACTGAAGGGAGGCTTGACCCTGCCTTCTCCGCTTTCCTCTTGGGCACCTCCTTGGTTGCTCTCCTTGCTTTCCTGGAGCAACATTTCTCTCTCCTCAGCTGGGCTCTCAGGCAAGCCAAGGTCCACATAGTCCTTGTGCTTCTCCGGTGAGGGCCTTTCAGGCTCAGCAGCACCTCCACCGCTTTCCTGCAACAGCTTCTGGGCTTCATCCTGCGAGAAATCTGTACCATAGTCTGAGGAGAAATGGCTCCTGCGGGCTCTGGACTCAGTGCTGTCTGTGTCCATGCTCGAGTCCCGGCTCACGGTCCAGCTGCAGCTCTGCGCAGACTCCTCACCATCTGAGTAAGCTGAGGCTGCCCTACCCAGCTCCTGCATGGAGCGGCTAAACCTCTTCTGGAGCTCAGGGGCTGTGTCACGGCTGAAAGCCGTGCGGTTCATCAGCACCCGCTCTGAGGTGGGGGGTGCCTTGTCCACGAACATACGCTGCCAGTTGGCCAGCAGGTCCTCCTCAGAGCTGGCAGAGCTGGCGAAGGCGCTCGGGATTTGGGGAGGGCTGCTGAACGGGCTGCTCTGGGAAGAGCCGTGAGCCCTGGCTGCTTTGGGGGACTGCTGACAGGAACAGCTGGAGGCTGAACGGTGACCATCTGAAGCAGGGCTGCTGGGGAGCGTCCGGTGCCGGTCGCAGCTCTCATCTTCACTCTGCACCAGGCTGAGGGAGATGGCCTGGCGCGTAGCGTATGTACAGTTGGGCAGGGGGCTGTTCTTTGGGATCCTTACCTTGTCCTCAGAGAACTCAATCACCTTGCGCCCAGGGTATATAGGA